ACATGACTGAAAAATGACTTAACAACAACAAAAGAATGTTTCCATTTACCTAGCACAATACTTGGTTCATTTTGATTAAGTTCCTACTGTGTGTTAGGTACCACCCTGATTACTGGGCACACAAAGACAAAACATTCCTCCTGCCTTCCAGGACCTTAATCACCAACCCAATCAAACATGAATCAAACAACAGGGAGCAAGATGCATTTGCCGCACAGAAAAAGTGAATCCCAGGCAGGTCCTCTGGAATATTCCATGGTGGATCCCATCACGGATTTATCTGCTGCATTTCTTCTGTGACTTTATTTAGAGGCAGTATGCTATGGTGGATAACCACATCCCTGCCTCCAGAGTTAGAGTACGTACATTGGGTTTTAATTTTTGCTCTGATATGTACTAGCTGTGTGACCTCGAACAAGTCACTTAACTGCTGCCTCAGTTTCCTTGACTATAAAATGGGGATAATAATAGCACCTGCCTCCCAGGGCTGTTGTAAAGACCAAACGAGATGATGTTTGTCAAAGGCACTTAGCACAGTCTTTGGCACATAGTAGGTGATATAAAAATGCTCATCATAAAGTTGATGAGGCCCTAGGTTAATAATAGCTAGCACTTACAGACTTAAACTAGCATAACACACTTATGCTTTCAGGTTTGCAAAGCACTTTACAATCACTATTTCACTTGTTCCTGACAATAACCGTGGAGGGAGGTGCTGTTATTATCCCCATTTTACAGCTGGGGAAACTGAGGCAGGTGACAGTTAGGTGACTCCCCCAGGGTCTGAGGGAGAGTTTGGATTCAGGGCTTCCACGCCCAGCAGTCTGTCCACTGTGCCATCTCCTAATAACTAACCTAGAACCTGCTTCACTTGGAATTTGTGGTACTAGGCTAAACTTCACTGATGTCATGCATTGTTGAAGGAACAGTGAATTGACATGAGCATTCTGGAATGCTATTTGAAATTATGGTTTAAAAAAAAAAGACATGACTATAATGAAATCCTACTGGTAGGAATATTCTCCAAGGAAGTCCAAGACAAAAAGAGGACTCCCATATCCACTAAAATATTCTGGTAACTCTTCTGGTAACAAACACCTGGAAACAAAACAGATTCCCACTGACTGAGGGCTGGCTACACCAGGTGGGGTCTGTGAATGTGTTGCTTAACAAACGTGATGGCTATTACTGTGGGATCAGAAACAATGAACAGGATGAATGGAGAGAAGCATTAGAAGACATGTATGGACGGATGCAGCAAAGGAAGCAGAATCACAAAAGTCCTGGCTACAATGACTCCAAGGACAGAGGAAGAAAGAACAAAACCCAACCCAATCTGGACGTTGTTTAGTTACCAGGACCCAGCTTGGCCCTGGAGAAGGTACAGGGGCTGAGGACAGTTGCTAGGACTCGGCTAATTTTGTTGAACTGCCTTTTTTTCTTTCTTTTTTTTATCCTTTCTTACCAGGGATGGCTTGCTGGGCAGGGATATACTCGAAAATGAAAATGATGGAAAAACAAAAGGTTATCAATAAAAACTTAAAAAAATAAAAACTTCACTGATACAAGTCTTGGAGTGGAAGAGTTGAATTCCTTGAAAAGATCATAGAATCACAGTTGTAGAGTTAAGCTGGTCTTCTTTGGTCTCCCATCCAAGGTCACAGGCAGGAAGAACTCTGCCTGCAGATCCTTCCTGTAAGCCTTCCTTCGGGAGAAAGATGGAAAAGTGTCTTTCTCCTCCCAGAAGCCATGCTCTGGGAAACCTGGAGTTAAGCTTGTGGTTGGAGAAGAGAGGGGATTACTTTAGCCTCGAGGACATGGAAACACATTTTAGTTGCCATTTTAGCTGTGTGGGTCAAACAATACGCATTGATCAGAGAAAGCGAACCTATATTCAAAAACTGGGACACAAGCAATGCAGGGAGCGAAGATCTATTAGGGAATAGCTCCTCTCCCCCAAGCAAAGCAGGGAATCTATTTTTTGACAAAAATGCTAAAGGGAAAGTCTAGTGAGCACGCACGCAGTGGCCCTCGTGTGTCTTTCAATGCCTCGGCTCTCTGCTGGGGGCGCCTTTCCTGTTTGCCCCCGGAGGTGCGATTACGGCAAATGTGCATGATTTTACCCACAATATAGAGTATCGTGTGAAGCCGTCCTTTATTGCCTCGAGGCTTTTCTTTCTTATAATTTATTTGAATACATTTGGAATTATTATCCCAAACATTAGCCAGCTGGCCCGCTGGGGTCGCCTCGGCCCGATTCTGGGGCGTCTCCTGCGCTAATCCTCTCTTCATGGATAATCCAGTCTAATGCTTCCTGGCTGTCGAGGGGCCCGGCCTATTACTACCTGATGGTAAGACATTCACTTTGTCCTGTGTAGGTGGCACTAATCGGGCGGTAATGAACACCTTATTTGAAGTCTCTTAGGTCAGAAAGCTATTCAGGGGATTGCTTTTCTTCTTTTCCAATTTCTGTCCGCTTACTTGTCTTTTCAATCTCTTTCCCCAAAAGCTGCAATTCAACTTGTCTTTGAAAGCGGTCCTCCCCCTTCCCTCCTCTCCACACCTCCCTCCCGCCCCCCTTCCCCCCACTTTTCTAAATTGCTTTCTAGCGGGATCAGATACAGGAAAGGTTTTTATTGTGTGCCACGGCCATTGAGCTGCACTGCTCATTTCTTCCACCTTTGGAGCCGGAGGGGCGGGAGGAAGCCTCAAGTCTATCCTCCCCCTGAGGCTTCGGAGCGGGAGGATCTGGGGACAAATTCCAAATCTGACAGGCTCTTTCTAGTCACTTTCCTCCCCTCTGAAACCCCAGGAAGGCAGACCACCTTGGGCACATCGCTTCTCTCCGGCCTTGGCTTCCTCATCTGAAAAATAATAGGGTGGGGCTAGAAGTCCGCCAAGGTCACCCCGAGCTGCATTGATGCCATGAGTTCACCAAGGAGGACCTCGCCCTGGGAGCAGAAGAGGAAGCTTGCCCAACAACACGTGGGTGGCTAGCATTTGTATAGAGCTTTGAGGTTCCTAACGCACTTAAGGAGTTCTCTTTCTGGAGCAGGTGATAGGATTCAGAATCCAGAGTCCTTTCTCCTGTCTTTAGAATGAGGGTACACTCTTGGTTGTCATTCTGGAGGAGAGGTCAGCCAGCTGCCATGGGGGCCGTCATGACCCTCACCTTCTCCCCCACGTGCCCTGGCTATACCACAGCCCAGGAGACATTTATGGAGCTCATCTCAGTTTATGTGGCCCCACCCTCCCAAGTGGAGGAACCAAGTCGGTGGAGGAAATTGGTGTCAGCTCTCTGCTCTCCACCCCGCCACTAGGAAGTGGAAGGGCCAGGATTAGAACCCAGCCCCCCTGATTCCAAGTCCAGTGCTCTGTCTGGAGCCGCAGACAGCCTGTGGACATGCTTAATTGGCTGCTAATGGGGCTTGGACCATGGGGGACCAGGCATGGAAAAAATGGAATTTTGTTTGATAGAATGGAGCCTGTCATGGCTTGGGTTAAAAGTTTGCTCAAGGCCTAACTGTACCGTGATGAGTTCAGTGAAAAGGCCATGGGAATGGATTCATTTTCCTGGCTGTCCTTTCCCATAAGCCTTCACTGTCTCTATTTTGTTTTTTGTATTATATGTTAAAATATGTTAATTACTCTGGTACTGTGAGGGATGACATGGTGTAGTGACCAGAAAGCTGGCCTTGGAGTCAAGGAGGCCTGGGTTCAAATCCCATCTCTGAAACATGCTGGCCATGTGACGTTGGGCCAGTCATTTAATTTATCAGTGTTCCAGGCAACTCTTGAAGACAACAAGTTCAGATGAGCTGCTGATCTCTGCTGGTGGAGAGAGTTTCTATACTGGGAGGTCCCCTTAGGGATAAAATCACAGATCCAGACAAAAGAAACAAACAAAAAACACAACTAAGCTTCCGCACTGACATTTGGCCTCTGCCCTCTCCTCCTGTGTCTGTCTCCTTCCACATATTGTCTCTCTCTGTCTTTGTCTCTGTCCCTGTCTCCCCTCTTCCTCCCTCCATGAAGGCTGAGTGGATTCTTTATGAGGGTCAATGGAATGGATGACCTTGGAAGAATCTTCCATCACTGAGATTCTGTGAGAATCAGGAGAGTGTTGACAAGGGGCAAGAGATGTTTCAGTGGGAAAATAATGATAATAACCAGCATTGAGAAAAAATTTTTTTACATTTGCATTTCCCTTGACCTTCAGATCACAATCACCTAATTCTGTAGATGTTTTTACAGCCCCATTCTATAGATGAGAAGACTGATGCCGAGACTTTCTGACACAAGTACCCTCCCCCCAACTCTTCTGCCTCCCCCAGGAGAAAGGAAGCAGTTCCTCCAGACTTGAGCATGGTAGGGTGGAGCCTCTTACATACAGTACATGTTGAATAAATGAAGAATGTCTAAGGACCACATCTTCAGCACAAAAACAAGTCAAGGATTTTACTCCATGCAGACCTCCTTCTCCGAGGGCATTCCTCTAGTAAGGAGACATTCACCCATCTCTAACCACCTGGTTCAAAGGCAGCTTGCTTGCCCACATGCCTTTTTGCACATTCCTGGGCACTCGGAATGCTCAGGGCTGTCAGTGCTCATTGAACTTGAGCTCAGGGCGGGCTGTAGATGCCTGCAGCTCAGGCGGGCGGATGTGCAGCCAAGCTCTAAATTTAACCAGGTGGTTTCCTGTGCCACAGGTGGAGTGCTAGGCAGCTTCCTTTTCAAACATCCTTTCCCTGCAGCTTTGGGAGGTGGGCACTTGGTGACTGGGTAATAGTTGGGTTTGTTTTGTTCCTTTTCTTCTCGACAAAGTGTAATTGTGTCGATGATTCTCCCTTGCACCACACATGTGTGGCCTTGGGTTGTTGCGCTTTTAGAAAGAGCCAGACTTCCTCATCAGGGGGACCAGGGGATGTTGTCCAAATCATCTGCCCTCCCCTACTCTTTGATGTGGAAGTCAACAGCTCGACTCCTTTCAAGCACACCACACAAAAGATGCTGCCAGTGAGTGCAGAGAGTTAAGCCACACTTTTCCCTTCTCCGTCCGCCTCCCCTTCCAGGTAGGTGTACAAGCATCTTTTTGCAAGATGAGCCGTGGCCACTCTTAGGGCCTGGAAGGGTAGCATCAGGGACCAAAGGTGAGGCTCAGATACTGGGTTTCAATTTGGATTGTACCAACAGTGATGTCAGTCAACAACTCACCTCCAAACTGGCATGGTTCCACCCAACCCTTACATTTAAACGGCCCTCTGAGGTTTTCAAAGGGCTGTTCTCACAGTCCTGGGTGGTGGTTAGTCTGACTATCATTACCCTTGTTCTACAGGTAAGGAAACAGAGATTCAGAGGGGTCAATAGAGTCCTAGAAATTTCCACAGCTCAAAAATGTTGAAGCCAGGACTTCCACCCAGATCAGAAGAGCATTGATCCAGAGCTGGAAGGGAACCTTAGAAGTCAGGGAGTCCAACTCCCTCATTTTATATTTGGGGAAACGAGGCCCAGAAGAAGGAAGTGATTTGACTAAGGTTCCATAAGTAAGAAGGAATAGCGCTGAGATTCTACCATGCTTTCTTCATATCTTTGAATGGTACCATGATGACTTTCAATTAACTTCTAGGTCCCTTGGCTTCCTCCTCCTCCTGGGTCTTGGAGATGCCACGTTAGTTGAGAAAAGGTCTTTCCCACAGTTGTAAACAACTATAGAAATGTACTGTTTGATAAACCCAAAGACTCCAGCTCGTGGGGTAAGAACTCACTATTTGACAAAAACTGCTGGGAAAACAGTATGCCAGAAACTAAGGCATAGACCAACATCTCACACCATATACCGAGATAATATTGAAATGGACACATGATTTAGACATAAGGGATGATACTGTAAGCAAATTAGGAGAGCAAGGAATAGTTTACCTGTCAGATCTATGGAGAAGGGAAGAACTGATGACCAGAGATGGAGAGCATTATGAAATACAAAATGGATACTTTTGGTTACATTAAATTAAAAAGGTTTTGTACAAACAAAACCAATGCAAGCAAGATTAGAAGGGAAGCAGAAAGCTGAGAAACAATCTTTATAGTCAGTGTTTCTGATACAGCCCTCATTTCTAAAATATGTAGAGAACTGAATCAAATTTATGAGAATACAAGCCATTCCCCAATTGATAAATAGTCAAAATATATGAACAGGCAGTTTTCAGATAAAGAGATTAAAGCTATCTCTAGTCAAATGAAAAAAAATGCTCTAAATCACTATTGATCAGAGAAATGAAAATTAAAACAACTCTGAGGTACCACCTCACTCCTATCAGATTGGCTAATATGACAGAAAAGGAAAATAATAAATGTTGGAGAAGATGAAGGAAAATTGGAACACTAATGCATTGTTGGTGGAGTTGTGAACTGATCCAACCATCCTGGAGAGCAATTTGTAACTATGCCCAAAGGGCTACAAAACCCTTTGATCCATTAATACCACTATTAGGTCTATATCCCAAAGAGATCATAAAAAGGGAAAAGGACCTACATGTACAAAAATATCTATGGCAGCTCTTTTTGTGGTGTCAAAGAATTGGGAATTAAGGAGATACTCATCAATTGGGGAATGGCTGAACAAGTTGTGGTCTATGAATATAATGGAATCCTATGATTCCATAAGAAATGATGAGGCAGGTGGACTTCAGAAAAACCTGAAAAGACTTACATGAACTGAGGCCAAGTGAGGTGAGCAGAACCAGGAGAACATTGAACATAGTAACAGCAACATTGTGCATTGACTAACTTTGATAGACTTAGCTCTTCTCAGCAATACAATGATCCAAGATAGTTCCAAAAGACTTGTCATTGAAAATGCTGACCACATCCAGAGAAAGAACTATGGAGTTTGAATGCAGATTGAAGCGTACTATTTTTACTTTCTTTTTGGTTTTTGTTTTTTCTTTCGTATGGTTTTTCCCTTTTGTTCTGATTCTTCTTGTACAACATGACTAATGTGGAAATATGTTTAACATGTTGTACATTTATAACCTATATCAGATTGCTTGCTGTCTTGGGGAGAGGGGAGGGAAGAGAGGAAAGGAGAAGAATTTGGAACTCAAAATTTTACAGAAATGAATGTTACAAACTATCTTTGCCTGTAATTGGAAAAAAATATTATTAAGAGAAATAAAGAGAAAAGGTGTTTCCTTTAAAAGTCAGGCAGAAACCTAAGAAGTAGAGGAATTTCTACATAAAATGTAGGAAGGGAAGAGAATAGGCATTTATATAGCACCTACTATGTGCCAGGCATTGTGCTACGTTTTTGGTTTGTTTTTTTTTTTTAAAGGTAGCATCTGGATATTTTAAAGGACCATCACTAAATTCACCATCTCTGGAACAAGTGAAACAGACTTTTTCCCCTCCTGGTTTGGAAACTTGCTGGAGTTATTAAATTTCTCAGAATCTTAGAATTGGAGGACCTCAGAGGCCATGAGTCTACCCTATCCTCAAGTAAGAACCCCCCCATCCCCCAGCACACCAGATGAGCAAGCATCTAGACTTTGCCTAAAGACCTCAGGGGAGGGGGACCCTGCTACATCTGCAAGGCAGCCCGCTCCCTGCTGGGATGGCTCTCACTGCTGGGACATTATCCTGACACTAGCTTAAATTTGTTTCTCTGCAACTTCCAGCAGGTGCCAGTCAGTCAACAGGCATTTATTAAACACCTACTGTGTGCCAGATATTGTGCTAAGTGTTTAGGATACAAAGAAAGGCAAAAATAATCCCTGTCCTCAGGGAGTTTGCATTTTAATTGGGGAGACAATATAAAAACAATTGAGTATAATATATGCTATACTATATTATATCGTATTATATTATACTCCTGTCAAGCTCTGTTCTTCTTAGTCTCAGCATAGACTAGTGCCCCAATGACGTTCACACACAATCAGCCCTGTCCTCACCTAGGATCCACTTGAGGCAGGAGTTCTTCGTCATGGACTCCCTCAGTTTTCCTTCACTTGGGCAAGGACTAAGGGGAGTATTTTAAGTGATGGGTTGAAACATCCTATGAGGAGAAGAGAGAGAGGCATACCCAGTGAGGTATTCCCTTGGAAGATGCCCTGAACTCAAAGAGGGTTGCTGTTGATGGTGGGGCACCACTGGGGAGCAGCTGCTGGAATGGGTGAGGATCTGGGTTTAGATGTGCCCCCTGGTCGTGGCACGGTGCTCTGGCACCTCAGCTAAGGAAGAGTATTGTCCCCCCTCCTCCCTCCCCCCAAAAGGAACCAGTTCCTGTCCTCAGGGAGCTTATATTCTACTGAAAGATAACCATTTGCACATAGAAAATACAGAATTATATATACATATGTATGTATAAAGAGAGAGAGAGAGAGAGAGAGAGAGAGAGAGAGAGAGAGAGAGAGTCAATGACTATAGTAATCTATTATTTGATAAGCTCAAAGACCCCAGTTTCTGGGATAAGAACCCACTCTTTGAAAAAACTGCTGGGAAAACTGGAAAAGAGTATGGAAGAAACTAGGCATTGATCAAAATGTCACACCATATACCAAAATAAAGTCAAAATGGGTTCATGAATTAGTTGTAAAGGCTGATACTATAAGCAAACTGGGAAAGCAAGGAATAGTTTACCTATCAGATTTATGGAGAACAGAAGAATTCATGACCAAACTGGAGATAGAGAACATTACAAAATGCAAAATGGATAACTTTGATTATATTAAATTGAAAAGTTTTTGCACAAACAAAGCCAATGCAACTAAGATTAGAAGGAAGGTAGAAAACCGGGAAAGAATTTTTACAACCAGTCTCTCTGATAAGGGCCTCATTTTTAAAATATGTAGAGAATTAAGTCAAATTTATAAGAACACAAGCCATTCCCCAATTGATAAATGGTCAAAGGATATGAATAGGTAGTTCTCAGATGAAGAAATTAAAGCCATCTATAGTCATATGAAAAAATGTTCTAAATCACTATTGATTAGACAAATGCAAATTAAAACAACTCTGAGGTACCACATCACACCTATCAGATCGGCCAAGATGGCAAAACAAGAAAATGATAAATGTTGGAGAAGATGTGGGAAAACTGGAACGCTAATACATTGTTGGTGGAGTTGTGAAATGATCCAACCACTTTGGAGAGTAATTTGGAACTATGCCCAAAGGGCTATAAAAATGTACATACCCTTTGGCCCACCAATAGCACTTCTAGGGCTATATCCCAAAGAGCTCATACAAATGGGAAAAGGACCCACCTGTATAAAAATATTTATAGCACCTCTTCTTGTGGTGGCAAAGAATTGGAAATTCAGAGGATGCCTATCAACTGGGGAATGGCTGAACAAGTTATGGTATATGAATGTAATGAATACTATTGTGCTATAAGAAATGATGAACAGGCTGATTTCAGAAAAACCTGGAAAGACTTGTATGGTCTGATGCTGAGTGAAGTGAGCAGAACCAGGAGAACGTTGTACACAAAAACAGTCATGTTGTTCGATGACTAATATTGATAAACTTAACCCTTCCCAGCAATACAAGGATCTAAGGCATTTCTAGAGGTCTCGTGATGGAAAATGCTGTCCACATCCAAAGAAAGAACTATGGAGTTTGAATGCAGATTGAAGCATATTATTTGCTATTTTTTTCTTCTGTTGAGTTTTGTTTCCTCTTTCTGGTGGTTCCTCCTATTTGTTCTAATTCTTACTTACAACATCACTAATGTGAAAATATTTTTAATACGAATGTATATGTACAGCCTATAGCAGATTATGTGCTGCCTTGGGAAGGGTGGTGGAGAGGGAGGGGGACAAAAATTTTAAACTCAAAAGCTTATGGAAGTGATTGTTGATGAATCAAAATAAATTAGTATTAAGTACCTGTGGGAAAAAAAAGAATGAGACAAAATGAAGTTTTGTAGCCCAAGCTAGGTAGTGGTCCCAACCTGAGAAGAACTCCAGACTGGTAGTCTGAATACCAGTGCCCTTCTTGTGCAACAATGCAATGACTCCCTGAGCCCCAGTGAAAGGCCTAGTCAGATCTGGTATTGCAAAGCACATCTGAATGGGAATTCTCTATGACCCCTGTAGTCTCTACATGGGAAAAATAGGTGCTCAGAGGAAAGAGACAGAAGCAGCCTTCAAACTTGAGGAGTGATTAGGAGTCAGTCTGTGATGTCCAGAGCCAAAGCTATATGTTTTTTGAACCCATGAGTATGTTCCGGTAGTGTTATTCTTTTTCTCTAAATTAACTTCTGAATTTCCAGATCTATTTTCTTTTTTTATTAATTGATTTTAAACTTAAATACTAAAACTGAAATACAAAATAAAGAAAGAAAAAAAAACATTGCCATGTGCACAGCAGAACATAAGAGAGGATTCAAAATATACAGCAATGAATTTCCATTTCAAGAAAGGCTATATAATAATTACTATACATTGTGCTCTGAAAAAAGAGAGAGAGAAAGCAAGAGAGAGAGCACACATTGATGATTGGGAGGATCCTCCCTTGGGTAGGAGGTGGCCATGAATCTATGCTTTGCAGGAAGCTGGGGATTCTTTGAGGCAGAAGGCAGAGAGTATGCATTCTAGATGTTGGTGGGGGGCACAACTTACTCAAAGGTCATGGGGATGGTAGAGAGGATGCTAAATACTGGGGAAAACTAGACCAGTTTGATTAAACAAAACACATTAAGGGGAGTGAGAGGAAAAAAGTTAGTGAAGATCATATTGTGGTAAGTTTTAATACCAGGATGAGAACTTTGTATTTATTCTAGAGGCAATAGGGAGCCAGTGGAGAGACTTTTGATTAGGGGAGATCCATGGTCAGATCTGTGTTTTGAGAATACCCATTTAGCAGTTATATGGAAGGTGCATCGGAAAGGAATATATCTAGAGTTGTTCTGGATGGAACCCTACAAATTATAATTTATTTTTGCAGATTCTCAAGGCAGAGAATCTCTGCCCATCGTCCTGCAGCGTGGTTATTCCTGGCATCGCTCTGACCTTTGGTTAACTTGGTGCTTTTGCCCACCTGGCCTGATACTAACCTACCATAAGTAGCATGTGGCACATGTCAGGATGGTGACCACATCAGTGACACTGTCGACAAGGGCTCATCATCCTTTCGGAATGAGAGAACCGTGACATCTTGGAGGCTTCCGTGTGATCTGAGGAAGAGCATTAGGATGGCTTTTTAAAGAGATCTGCCTCCATTTACCTTCTCCTGACAGCTGGGTTGGGGGCAGGAGCCTCCTGCAGTCCTGTTGTACAGACCTCTTTCCAAAGGAGTTGAGCTTTCAGTAAGTACCAGTTATGTGCCAGGCACGGGAGATACAAATATAAAAATAAAACCATGTCTGCCCTGAAGGAGCTTCTATTTTAATGGCGTAAACACCACATAGAGAGATTACATACAAAATCTATGCAAAGCAGATTCCTGGAGAATGACACACATGAACATGAAAGACGGTTTGTTAACAAGAGCACCAGTATTCCAGAGGGCACAAATGAAGAGGGAGGGGGTGGCATGTGTGAGGGGGTGAGGACTCGTAGCCAGGGGTACGGAGCTTCACAGCATCTCCCTCTCCCTGCAGGCCTGACAGATGGGATTTCTGCTTGGATTAGATGCCCCCTGAGGTCTCCTCTGATTTCACGATTCTGTGCTGCTTATGTCCCTCATCCTTACATAGATCCTATCTGTGCCCCATTGGTGACAGCTTCTATTTGCAGCATCTATTAAGCTGAAAAGTGGATGGAAGCTTTGACCCCCCAATGTGACATAGGGGGCACAGTTTGACTGATGAAAATTGCTTGGCAATTGTATGTACCACATGCTTCCTTATCAATGACAGACTTTCTAAACTAGCCTTTAAAAAAGTTTACTCTAAAGCCCATTTAAAAAAGAGCCTCATGAAGGTATATACTCTGGCCTTTCTCTTCTGTGGGGCCCCAGACAGGGTAGTGTAGTCCTAAACGTCACAGGAATTCTATAAGACTCTGGTGAGACAGGGGAGCCCATTTAGAGAGGGAGGGGGGTTCCCTCTATTCTCTCTGGGCTTGAATATGAGTCCTTTCTTTATCCTTTACTGGATAACTAAAATTGTTCTCTTTGGGGGAAAAATACCAAGGAGTCTCATTTGAGACAGAAAACTGATAAGTGGAAAATGCCACTTTCAGTTACATTGCTTGAATGGTGGATGTTGGTGATATCAGTCCGTAGTCCTCATGCTAATCTAGGCAGCTAGGTGGTACAGTGGGTGGTACACTGGGACTGGAGCTCTGAGTTCAAATCCAGACTCAGAGAATGTATAAACCTGGATTTAACCGCTGTCTGCCTCAGTTTCCCCATCTGTAAAATGGGAATAATAATAATAGTACCTACGTCCTAGAGTTCTTAAGAGGAGCTAATGAGGTAATATTCGTTAAGTGCTCACCCAGTGCCTGGCACATAGTTAATACTTCCTTCCTAAAAAGAATCCTGAGGTCTGTGGGCTTAGAATGAGAATGTCGGATTGGGGCTTTTGACATTGGTAAGGTATCTGTGCTTCTCTAGGGAAAAAATCCTATTTTGGACCCATGACTAGTTGAAGAGACAGAGGATGGCCACCATATCATGAAGTCAAGTCCTCAATAAACTGCTTCTTTTTTCAACTTCTTCAGGGTATCTACACATTCATTAGCTGAGGTCCCCTCTCGCTCCCTCCCTTCACCAATGCAAGTCATTACTCCGTCACGCTTGCATGTAAGTGATCTTCATGTATTGGTGGGACCACAAAAGGAATCACTTCTTGCCTAAACGTTCTGAGAAGCATAACAACGACCTTCGCTAAGCCAGTCCTCTGAGAACGGGCACCAGGCCCATGACCAGGCCTTTTCAGATTGGCAGAGTTGGCAGATGACAGAAGGCAGATAGACCACAAAGAGGCCCTGGAGCCAGGTCTTGGCAGAGATGCCAGTGGAGATGGAGTGAACCTGGGTCGTGATGTTGGGATCTGTGGTTGGGACGGCGAGAAAAAGAGAGAGCAAGCTCAGCTTCCATCATGCGGTAAGAACTGAGGGTAAAGGGAGATTCTGTGAGCTGCCAGGAAAAGGATGAAAGCCCAAGGCGCCAGGACACAGTAGGCCCAGGAGGAGGTTACAGTGGTCAGCGGGTCTTCCTTCTTCTCTCCGATCTTTTCCATGGATAAAACCTTCAGATTTTCACAATGATTTTTCATTTCATTCTCAGGACTGAAGTATGGGGCGTTCCTTGGGACTGTGGAAATCCAGGTCCTCCCCAGCCCTTGCCCCGCTCCCCTGTGACTGTGGGAAGCGGATCCCGCGTGCAGGGAGGCAGACACGCTGAGAGGCCATTTCTGCGGCTTCTCGGGCCTGTCCAAACTGTGCCTCCTGCCTCGCCAAGTCCAGTGGCTTGCAATTTGTTTTCTTCATTTGAAATGCTTGCGCATTTTCAGAAGACAAACCTTCAAAGACATTCTGGGAATTTAAGGACGGGGCAGACGGTCCACCAGCTCATTTTGTAGGGTGTCTCTGCATTTTATCCGGAGGGGCCAGGAAGCTCAGATGTTGCCTTTGTTTCTCCCAAAACTCCGCTAATGTAAGGTTGGCATTTGGCCGAAATGGCCTTTAGAGCTGGGAGTGAGCATGGGCAAGTTATGGGAGATACAGAAGAGGAAGGGATCTCAGAGGTCATCAGACCCAGAGAAGCAGCCCCGGTGGAACAATAGAAAAAGCCAGGCCTGCCTGAAGTCAAGAAGACCCGAGTTCAGATCTGGGCTCAGATACTTCCAAGCTGTGTGACCCTGGGCAAGTCACTGAACCTCTGTTTGCCTCAGTTTTCTCAACTGTAAAACAGGAGCAGTAGCAGCGCCTGCCTCCCAGGATTGTTGGGAGTGCTCTAAAGTGCTTAGCACAGTGCCTGGCACATACACGCATGCACATGTCTACATGCTATATAACATACATGTATGTGCTATACAACACACATGCATATATAAAACGCAGCATAGCTATAACAAGAATGCCTCCTCCTGTTGGCTCCTTCCATAATTCAGTGGGTTCCTAATGCCCTCCAGGTGGCCACACCTTCCTTCCATCATGCAGGTGGTATCCCTCTTCAGTCCCAGCCTGGGGCTAATGTTTGCTTCTTATCCTGGGAGGAGCAGAATTCTCTTTCCCCCCTTATTTCTTATTTCATTCGACAATATTTTCTAAACTCCCACTATCCGCAAGGAACCAGACTAGCTCCTGGGTACAAGGAGATAAAAGTGAAAAACAAATCCTTTCCTGGAGGAAATTATATTATACTGGGACAGGCAGAACAACAGGTCCACAGAAAAGTAAACAGAAGGCAGTTCTAGGCACACTGACCACGAATTGAAGTGAGGTGGGGAGGACTTCCTGGAGGAGGCAGTGTTTGAGCCTTGAAGGAAACTAGAAGTTCTAAGAAACAGAGGTGAGGTGAGGTGAAAGGCGTTCTAGGCAGATTGCTTTTCTGTGACTTATAAAAGTTTTTCTTAAGTGGTTTTTGTTTTAGAAAGTCATTCTTGAGAAGGAAGGAGCAAAGTGCTGAAAGGTATGAAGGAATGAAACAAACATTTCTTGAACACTTATTATATGCTGAGACCCCAAGTCAAGAACTCCTGATCAAGGCCAGCTCCTTTGTTTTGTAATTGGGGAAACTGAGGCTCAGTGAGGAAGGAAGGAAAGATTTGATATAAGCACCTACTGTGTGCCAGGCAATGTGCTCAGCTCTTGACAAATATGATGTCATTTGATCCTCATAACACCCTAGGAGGGAGGTGTTATTATTATCCCCATTTTACAGATGAGGAAACTGGGGCAAACAAAAGTTAAGTGACTTACCCAAGATCACATATAGCTAGGACGTATTTGAGGCCAGATCCATTGTCTTGGAATCTGGGTTGTTTCCATAGATATGAGTGAAATGAGAGGAGAGCTGCTTCTCACCTGGATCCAGAGTCCTGGGAATCTGAGGACTGGAAGGCTTTCTCGTACCACTCTGGGCTTTGTGACTTTGGGATATGCAAAGTCAAGGGTATCTCCATTGGGGAATGTCTGAGCACATTGTGGTATACGATTGTGATGGAATATCATTGAAGTAAAATAAATGATGAGCAGACAGATTTCAGAAAAACCTGAGAAGACTTACATGAACTGATGCAAAGTAAAGTGAGCAGAACCAGAACGTTGTATACAGGAAGAGCAACATTGTCACAATGATCAGCTGTGAAAGACTCACCTACTCTGATCAAGATAATGCCAAAGGACTCATGATGAAAAATTCTCTCCACCTCCAGAGAGACAACTGATGAAGTCTGGGTGCAGATTGAAGTGATTTTTTTCACTTTATTTTTCTTGTGTGTGTGTGTGTTTTCTTTTATAACATGGCTACTATGAAAATATGTTTTGTGTGACTTCACATGTATAATTATTATATTGTTTGCTTTCTCAAGAAGTACAGAAGGGAGGAAGAGAATCTGGAATTCAAAATTTTAAAAAATGATGTTAAATTTTTAAAAAAATGTAACTGAGAAATATTTAATGAAATAAATAAAAATATAGCTAAAAAATAAAAAAAAGAAAGTCAAGGGCAAACCCATAAAGATGATGACATCATCAGGTCTTTGACCTAGGACAACAATATTTAGAGGGTGCTGACAGTGTCTGTCAGCACTGAAATGACTATGTTTGTTACCTAATTATAGAGAATAATTAATTAAAATGGGGAAGCCATAACCTATATCTGATTGCTTACTGTCTTAGGGAGGGAGGAAGGGAGGGGTAGAACTTAGAACTCAAAACTTTAAATAAAAATGTTAAAACATTTTTAAAAATGAGAAGCCAACAGGTGTCAATGTCCTCTATCCTGTGCCTCCCTTAACAGCCAATCCCCTCCCCCTCAATGCTCCAGATCTCCTCCGTACCACCAGACCCCCTCCCCCCACCGGGCTCTTCCAACAACATTTAAGGGCAAGTTCCACGTTCCTCGCCCTGAGTAAGTCTTGTATTACCTGCTCTGGCTCAAAAATGGCTGGTTCTGGTTCTGCTGGAGGGTTGTTAAACCCCTGCCTCTGCCTGGGCCAGCTGTGTGATGATTTTAAAAACCAAACCAAACCAAAACTGCCCGTGCTTTACTGAGAATGAATGGTGACGTGATAGGGGCCCTATGGCTCTTCCCAATAACGATGCCTGGCATTTCCATGCCACTGGCGCCCACAGCACGTCTGCCATTGTGCCTGGCTGTGTCCGAGGCATCTCCTGTTCAAATGGAAGCTCCTCCAGGGCAGAGATTTTCTTTGCGTTCTCAGCGTTTTGCCCAGTGCTTGGTACACGGTATGTACTCATACTGTGATTGTTATTAACATGTTACTATTAACATGCTAATGTTAATATTAATGTGTTAATATTAATATACATGTTTATTGACTGATCTCGCTATGACCCAATAGAAATTTCGTTTAGATGTTAGTAAAATTATATCGATGTGAGTTTTCCCCGTCCAAGTTCTAAGACCCCCTCAAGCCTTCCCATAGACTCCAGCTTAAGGACCCTTCCTAAAGGATTCTTTGTTGTTCATTCTGCCTTGGATTCCCCCTACCCAACTTCCAGGTGCTGTCATCTGCTGAAGGACACCAGGTCCTTCCCAAGCCTCCCCTTGGCCCACAGCCTTACTTTCCTCTTTATCCTTCACTTTATCATCCATTAACCTCCTCAGCTCCCACAGTCAAAAGCTCCACTTGTCCTCAGTCACACCCAGGGATGGGCTTGCTCTTGCTCCAGCTTCAGAAACCGTGTACACATAGTGGCCTCGGGGTCCTAGGGAGAAGCAGCCTTAGGAACTCGGTGTCCTTGGCAGTCCCCCTTAGGCCTTTCACCCCAACTGTACAGCCCCCCTCCCCCCCACCCCAGACAAAGGCCCCAGCACAGAAGAGGATGGGGATATTTGGAGTATCTTTTCATCAATGTGGAAAGAATACTTGCTAGACTCGGGGTCAGGAGAGACCCGGGTTTGAATCCCTCCTCCAACTCTTAGGAGCTGGGGGATGCTACGCCTCAGTCTCCTTATCTGCAAAATGGTGGTTTTAATACCTAGATGCCCACATGGATGAGATCATGGCTTCATATACCAGTGGAAATGCCTCCTTTGCAGCAAGCACAAAGTACGTTGTAGACTTAAAGTGCACCAATGGCCCTTGTTAGGGTTTCCTTACTGCTAACAAAGTCTACATCTACAGATTGGGGTGTTGGGATACCCATGGACACCAACCTTTACCATAGAGGCCCTGTTGGGGGCCTCCATTGACCAAACATCACACGACCCAGGAGACCAGTCCAGCTCTTCTTTGCTTGATCTGTATGGGAGGTTCCTTAAAGTCTTCCTGACTCAGTTTCCCCACCAGTAAAATGGGCATACTAATAACTGTATGTGGCACTCACCTCCCAGGGTGGTTCTGAGGATCAAAAGGGACTGCTAAGTTTGAAAACTTTAAGCCCACCCTGTCAATATTAGTTATTATCATCACTATTATTATTTGTGTGGACCTACGATTTCAAAGGTGTAGGGAGCTGCCACAGGTAAGGAAATGCCCTCTGGCCAATGCAGGTGGGCACCTGTTCTTTGAGATTTCAGTTGACTTGCCCAAGGTCACACAACCAAAATATATCTGAGGCAGGGATTGAACCCAGGGCCTCCTGACTTCAAGACTGGGCCTTTATCCCCCTCTACAAATCTTATTCTGCTTCTTTTTCTTCCTCTTCCTTTTCCTCTTTAATCAGAAAACTGTAGACTTTTATTGGTTTCATGTTCCTCATATGAACAGCAGATAGTGTATCTTCTGCTAATACTGGAAAACCTAATCATTAATAATTGCTTACGGATGGAAGAGACAGTGAGGCGTACCAGGAAAGCCCACTGGACTTGGTGCCCGTGACCTGGGTTCACACCTCGGCTCTGCTGCTCACCACCTATGTCACCTTGGGCCCGGGCTTTTACGTTTGTAAGATGAAGGGGCTGGCCCAGATGCCCTTGGGGGTCCTCATAACAAGCACCAGATTCTATGATGCTGTGAACGTCAGAGGCCTCCTAATTGACATGCTCAATGAACAATGAGTGAAGCAAGAGGAGGGGATCCCACTGGATCCTGAACTTTGAATTTATTTCCTGCCTTGAGGTCTGGGCCCAAACAATAGATGAGGTGATTTATTTTGACTTTTGAAATATATCTTGAGAGGGAGAATTCCCAATAGCTGTAGAACGCAGGCTTTGAGGTGGGGATCACTCGACCCTGGTGGGTTAAGAAACCACAGCTGAGAAGATTTAGGATTATTTAACTCCATTTCCTGTAAAGCTTGCTCCTTCGGGGATGACTCAGAGCTGCATAAATCCCCCAGCAGGGGGGACCAAACTTGGGGACAATTAGTCTGAATCATGTGCCTTCCTCAACCAATTTACTCTGTGGGAAAATCCCGGCTCAGGCCGGTGGTTCTTATATACAGCCTGATTTTCTATTCTTTGCCACAGTAGGAGAGATAACTGGGGGGTGGGGGGCAGAAAAAGCTAGAAAAACACATTTGAAAAGCATCCTTGGACAGATGCTAGGGTTTGGGGGCGGATTGGCTGTTTTCTTTTGGCCCTTAAAAAGCCAAGGACTGCATGGGGTGTGTGTATGGATATAGAGGTGTAAGCAGGAAACTGTCCAGGGTGGAACGAAGCTGGGGGTTGGCAGGTGTGATAGGAGCGAGCAGAGAGGCTTC